AACTGATTATCTCTGAACTTACTCTACTCTTTGTCTTTTTCTGTTGAATATAATTCTATATTGAAATTAAGTTAGCTAACTTAATTATAAAAGTTTAGATTTTTCTAAGATTTCTTACTGAATTCTTATCAGAGATTTATAATCTCTTATCAAGAATTTATTATATTCTGCTGAAAAGTTACTATTTTATTAAATCTAAATACTTATCTTTATTTTCTTTAATAATCTTGATTTTCAGGTCTTGACTGTGTTCAGCATTGTTATTCTGCTGAATGAGAATATATACAATGTTTTATCATTGATTTTAGTTATTTTCATAACTGTCTGATCGAGATTTTTCTTTATAAAGAACAGAAAATACATTCATTTAATCTCTAGTCATAGATATTACTCTGTTAAGCAAATCTTCTTCTCATATATTTCAGTGTTAAAATGTCTAGTTCTCTGACATCTTCTTGATGAATTACTTATTAGTAAGAAGTTTGAGTTCTTCTTACTGTTCTTCTCATCTATTAAGCATTCTTCATTGATGTCATTGTATGCCTGCTATGATTAAGAAATATTAATATTGAATTTTCTTTGAAATCAGTGAATTGTCTCATTAAATCTACTAGATGAAAAAGTTTGAAAAGATCTAGTATATCAGAGTCAATGAGAGTATTCATTTTTAAAATTAGATTGAAATTCTAGTCAATGAATAATACTGATTTCAGAAGCTTGCAGAAATATAATCTTGAAATAAAGAAAACAGTTTAATTATTAATATTAATTTAATATAGATTGTCACTGATTGCAGCTTTTATTAATATACTTCTTTTCAGTAATTCAATCTTATCTCTTTATTTTATTAAGACTGCTCACTCACTTCAATTATATCTTTTCAACTATACAACTTGTTTCTATAAATTATATTAGAAAGTAAAATGTTATATCTGTTTAATTGAAATTTAAAATGCTATCTACTATCTGTCTCTAGACAAGAATTCAGAAATAATCAATTAAAATTTCAATCTCAGAGCTCTCTTTTCTCAGAAACTGCAAATGAGAATTTTATTAATAGTGATTCAGATAATGATGTTTCTAATAAAGAAGTATTACTATTTTCAGTACATTTATCACTTTTAATGTCTTACTTATTATTATAAAAACTAATATTATTTAAAGACAGAGTTATATAATAAGAATGTCACTGATAATATTAAGTATATAGAGTGACTTTTGAAAGCAGATGCTGAGAAGAATATTCTGAAAAATATCTCAGAAAATAATGATTAAGAAGATTCTGATAAGTCAGTTACTAAAGATATTACTATGAAAGATACTACTATTGAAGATATTACTACTATCTCTCATTCTACTGATGAATTTGTTAATTCTGATTCAGTAATTAATATAGCTTATAAATATAGTAACTTTGAAATAAATTTATTTATTTTGATAATGAGACTCTGAGCTAAAGAGTTAGATATTTTCTGAAAAAACTATCAATTACTACTGTAAATCCTGCATTTATTGAAGAATATATCACTGATAAGTCTACTTCTCAAAGGCCTATCAACTCTGAAAAAGCAATACAGAGCATAATTTTCAATTTTATCAGTTAAGAAAATATCAATTTCAATAGTATTATTAATATAAATACTAACTCTGAGTTCTGCTTAGAAAAATCTTACTATATTCTTCATAAGATTACTCTACTTTTAAAATTCAATTCTATTAATATCTACTCTTCTCAAATTCTCAAATTTCTGATGATAGATGTATATAGAAATGATAGAACTTATCAACAATCTTACTGAGTTATAATAATCTCACAGTTAAGAGAGCTCTGTTAAATATTATTCTAATAACTTTGTATAATATTTATTAATAAATAAACCTCTTTTTTCTTCTGATTTTATTTGATATCAGTGTGAGAATCTTGAATGCTACTGTAAATTAAGATTGAATGATATATCTCATATTAAGAGAGTGTGTTTTATCAGATATAATCACTGACATTTAAATATGAGAATAAGATCTTATATAATAGTTCTGAAAGTTCAAGAAGTCATTTATTATACTTCTCAGATAGTATAAAGATTATTATTCTTAAATCTATCATTTATCTCATTTAAATTAATTACAATGAAAGATGAGATAAAATATATCTTAATTACTCAGATTCTGAATTAACTTGATATTCATATGAATATAATATTTGAATCAGATTTCAATCTACTGATAAAATATAAGAGTAAAGATCAGTATTTTCTTCACTGAGTTATAAGAATCAAGACTGAAGCTGTTAAGATATAATCATATTATAAATCTTCACTAATTCAGACTGAGTTGAAAATTGCTGTATATAAATAAGATATTTTGAAAAGTATATTTTACTCTGATATATAAGTTATTTCTCTATTATATCAATTGTTCATTGATGAATTTGATTTATATTAAAATATGTACTGAAGCTTGATAAGTTTTTATATAATTTCTGCACTGAGTGCTGTTAAGTACTCAAAGTGAAATAATATTTTTATTCTAATCTTTGATTCTTATAATATTAATTTCTCTGACACTATCACTGTATTATTATATAACTTATCTATATTAAATTATGAGAGAATTATAATGAATATCAGTGAAGAAAAGATAAGAGTGATTATATCTTATATAACATTTCTTAAAGATATGTTACAGTAAAATAATAATACAGAGATTAAAAAATCAACTATGAGAAGATCTTATTAAAGCTGTTTTATTAATGATAAGAATCAGCTGAATTTGAACTATAATTTATACAATAACAGCTGATTTTATTATTATATACAGTATCTTCAGGCTAAACTAGATAATCTGCTGAATCTCATATATAGAGATTAAATATATCAAGAGCAGAGTATAACAGCACAGACAGTATCTCTTTTTTAAATATACTTAAGTTTGAATTTAATCTCATTTTTCTCTTCAGATTCATATTATAGTGAGTTTACTGAAATATCAGAGATTTTATATTTATTACTAATCTGTTCTGTTCTATCACTGTATAATCAGTAAGAATACTTTTAAATATTATAGATATTCTTCTTTTCTCACAGTTAAAATTATTTACAGTTATTAATCACTCATCTCAAGAAGTATCAGCTTCAAAAACATGCTTGAGCTTTAATTATTATATCTCTTATCTTATAATATAAGCTCAGAGAGAAATGACTCAGTCTGATAATTAAGCAGATTAATTCTACAGCATTTTCAGCACAAAGTCAAAATCAATCATCTATTAATCTTATTATTCAGATATATACAGTTATTATAAGAAGTAATAGTCTATTAATATCTCAATCTCTGAGAGAAAATAATTCTGAAGTGATCTATTAAATCATACTTACAGTCTATCAATAGTTATAGTTTCTTATTAAAGCTGTAATGAGAGTAGCAGTGATATTTAAATCATCTCAAGCTGATTCAGTTGTTAGTTATCAATCATTCTTTACTTTAACTATAAGCACAGTTGCTACATATATCAGCAGCAGTGATTATATTAAAAAAGCAAAGCTTATATAATATATAAAAAGTCAGCTGAATATATATATTAGTTTATACTATATTAAGCTGATTAAAGAATATACTGTATCTAACAATTATAATATTCTGATAGAAGAGAATAAGTATCAAGACTATAAGAATCTAATACAGTGAATAAATTATTAAAATATAAAAAAGATATTACTCTTACAGAAGAGTTTTCAGTGAATCTTATAACTAGTATTAGAAGATTTCTTTGACAGCTTTAATATATATCTAACACAGAAGATTCAGTATTTATATGTATATTATTCAGCACTTTTTAATAATTTATTAAGAATGAATAAAGAAACTGAAGATAAGAATAATAATTTATTAAACTACTCTGTTAAATTAATACTAATAAAAGATTATATTACTCTGAAGATTTTTAATCATCTATTATTAAATAAAATATCAGAGAAAGTTAATATATAATTTATAAATCTCTTCAAGCTTGAATTACTTTATTTATTTCTTAATAATCTGTGAGAATTCTATAACATTAATTAAAATAAGTTCTTAGTTTTGAAACTAGATTATCATCTGATTCTTTTCTATAATAAGTTAATATTCTCAGTTTAGTATATCTCTTTAACTAATTAATCAATCAGTTATTAACTTATTAATATATAAACTAGAGAGTATGTTCACTGAATCTCTCTTATAAAGAGAAATATTCTTTAATATCAGAGAGCTGATCTTGATCAGATTATAACTATCTTTATTTATAAAATAAGAAAGATTAAGTAGATTTTCTTTATACTTACTTCTCTACATCATATTAGACAGAATTGTCTACTGAATCTATTAATTTTATAAGAGAATTCTGACAGTTACACTATTATCAGGCTTTCAGTAGTTTAAAAGACAGTATTATATAACATTTCAATACTGAATACTGATGAAAATAATGATTATTTAATATATAAATCTCAGATAACAAGATATTTATATTACACTTAAGATATCTCATTTCTTTAGATAGTAATTTAATTTATATAAAGTAGTTAACTAGTCTAGCTGAATAGTATACAAGCATTGATTTTACTGACAGAATAGTATATCATGGCTCACAGTATCTCAGTAGTATCTTGATAATGGCATTCACTGATTACATGATGACTGAGCTGTCCCCTGATGGTGTCAAGAAGTCCTGTGCTGTTTCAACACCATCTTGACATTTAATATTCAGCAATGTGTCACTGAATATAATGATGGAACATGTGTTACAATCGGCGACACGTGACACGGGTGGAATGGTGGGATCCACGGTGTAATCACCGTAAATTAACCCTACGTTCTTCCCGTATGGTTTGCTCACAATCCACAGTACTATTATACTCCGTAACTACACCCTTAAACACCGGAGCTGGGAAAGAGAACTACCGGGACTTCTGATCCTACATAATATCGAAATTTAAAAGGCCGCAGAAGTCAGCCCTTAAAGAATGGCGATGAAATCAATACCAGCCATGAGCTTTCTTCGAGCTGTTCGTCCCTTAGGCCGCAGATCAAACACCCTATTTCATCCCGCTTCCGCCCGTCCCCTCCTCCGCCGCTCACTCATCTCCGCACCAGGGCCGCATTCAGGACCCCTCCTAAGCCGGCGAGCAGACCGCGAGCTTCCTTCAATAAAGTCGGGCCGAAGGTGGCTCCGTACCTTGCCAATTTTCTTCGTCGTCGTTGGCGCTTCCATGCTAGGCATGTTCAATTACCAGAAATCCTCGTCAAGCGTGGTGAATAGCACCCTGTATGCGTTGCGGGTATCGCCCAAGGGAAGGGAACTTCTAGGTGACGAGATATACTTTGCGCAGAAAATTCCGTGGATTAGCGGGGAGATGAATCAGTTGCATGGGCGGATTGATATTTCGTTTTGGGTCAAGGGAACGAAGAGCAAGGCGAAGATGAGGTTCCGGAGTATTAGGGATGGAAGAAATGGATATGTAAGTGGAGTTCTATTACATCCTCCTTATTGGATTTATCCCTTTATTTCCGTCCATATTTTCTAAAAGGAATTGAATGCTAATACTTGAACGCCCTAGTTCCGAACCGAAAACTGGACTCTTACACTGGAGGATGGCACGGTAGTGCAGCTATTGGATGCATCGCAAGGAGACCCTTTCCAAAATGTGATGTCTGGCGACACTACGACTGACTTGAAGACGTCGATATGAAAAAGGACAATGTGCATTAACCGGTGAGAAACGGTGCCTACAGTACCCTTTGCTTCATCGCGTGGCGTTCAGGAGTTTTATACATATCGGGGGTGTGCATTTAATGAGTGTACTGTACTATATAGCATTGGGATTTTTGGAAACAACTCAACTAGTAGCGAAAATAACCAAATGGTCAGATCTCAAAAGGGAAGAACCATCGACATTTCTTTAAAAAAAGGATAAAAAAATAAAGTGAACCTAATTTGATCTATTCGTACGCCTTAAACAAAATATCTTGATAAATTTTATACAATAATACATGAAGGGAAGAACATTTAAACATGCTTTATATATCTCAACTCTCTTGTTTAGTTCCTCCGGCGCTTTGCTTCAGCGCAATTTCTGGCCACGGCTTTTTGATTGCATCCTGCAATTTCACGATGCAGCCTTTCGGACCGCTTACACTTCCTATATAGCCATCATTGTTAGTTACTGACCAGGAGAGAATGGCTAAGGTAAACGCAACTAACCATTAACAACCACAATGCCCTTCTCGGCATCAACCTTCAGTACCTTCAGATTTTGCTGCGTCACTCGCTCATTACCCATGTTACCCGCCATCTTCTTTCCTGGGTACACACGAGAACCGCCACCCTGACCGGGACCCGATGAACCCATCGAACGATGGGTCAAACTCACACCGTGGCTCCGATCTTGACCGTGGAAACCATGTCTCTTCATGACGCCTGCAAATCCCATTCCTCGACTATTTGATCGTGCGTCGACGTATTGGCCTTCCTGGAACCAATCCGCATTGATCGTCTCTCCGATGGGCAATAGGCCGTTTTCGTCCTTGACCCGGAACTCATGGATATGCCGCTTGGGCGCAACGCCGTTGGCTGCGAAATGGCCCAACATGGGTCGTGTGACGGCGCGCTCATGTTTCCAACCGCAACCAACCTGGACAGCGTAGTAGCCATTTTTCTTGAGGGTTTTATGGGCGACGACTTGTACCCGGTCAAGTTGGAGGACAGTACAGGGGATTCGTTTGCCGGTCTCTAGATCGAAGATTGCGGTCATTCCCTTTTTGATGGCCAGGGCGCCGGTTCGTAGAGGGGTGGTGGCGGCTTTGCGCTGATGGGCTACCGACGGACGAGATGTAAGGACGGGGAGATTGGGACCAACATTGAAACGGTCTGCTTTTGGCGGGTACATGGACTTGATGCCAAATGCCCTCTTGGTCAGAACATTTTCGATGGCGAGACGGGGGATTGAGGTGGAGAGGGACAGCAGCGCATGCTTCCCTGGTAGCCACGGGGGCATGGCTAAAGGCTGTTAAGACAGACAGTCGAAGCCAGGAGAGGAAGACACGGGTTGAAAGTGAACTCGAAGCATTTATCCCCAACACCAAACGCAAGTATGAAGCTTTTCGAGACGATTTGAAGCCGCGAGGAATTTGGAGACCGGGCGCTATGCCTGATATAGACTAGTGCTATCGCTATTCGACAACCTCTGGCTCGTCATCACGTGAAATATATCCGGAAGCATTTGCGTCGAAAGCGGAAATTCGAAGCATAAAATAACACGGCGACACAGACTTGATTGATGCGGATGCTCGGAGTATTCTTGGGAGTGTCATAGCAGTTGTCATAGCAGTCTGCTCTCTCCCGACTTGTTCTTCGCAGAAATACCTGTTGTGGATGGAGCAGTCGGGTTGCAAAATCCAATCTCTTTTCACGAACTAGTAGGTATTTATTATTTACCCAAATCCTCTGCCTCACTTTTTTTTTATTCCTTGAATATTGTTGGCGATTGACATCATCAAAACAAAAAGAAAATACCTAAGTCTACCAAACACAGCCAGGGCTTAGGTTTTGGCTATTCGCGGGAGATTTTTGAACCCCTCATATATACAGAGGCCTCCCTACTACTACACACCGAACCATGCCTCCACCCTCCCACCTGTTCCTTCAAGGCAGCTTGAAACGACTCCCAACCCCCTTCTCAACATTCCAATCTCTCACTCCACGAACAGCCGGCAAACAATCTCTGTCTTTACCGATTGCGAAACCGCCGCATGTCCGACCCTTCCACAAATCTGCGACCCCTCTACGACCTCGATTAAATGCCAGCAACATCCTCAACAATGTCATAAGATCAAGAATCCAATCCCGCTCCCCGCGCCGGTCGAATTCCAGCAACTCATCCTCTTCTTCCTCTTCCTCTTCCTCCTCGCCGACACTCAGCTTCTCCCAGCGCATGAAGAAGCTCTCCCGGGAATACGGCTGGGCCGCGCTAGGCGTCTACCTGACCCTTTCTGCCCTTGATTTCCCATTTTGCTTCATCGCCGTGCGGCTACTAGGTGTCGAACGGATTGGACACTACGAACATGTGCTTGTGGAAGGGTTTAAGAGTATTTTTGGCTCAGTTCTGCCGTCCATGGGGAAACAGGAAATAGCCGGGGTTCCCGCGGATGATAAAGTAGGAAGTGCAGGAGGCGATGTCGCGATTGCGGGTGCTGACATCAGCAGCGGAGCTGAGGATGCCGAATCGTATGATCATGGGGTTTTGGAGGCTGACGCGCGGAATACGGGACCTGAGGCTAGTACGTCATATCATCGTCTCCCTTTTATATAGATATCTCTAATTGTCGTGTTGGGGCGGGGAGGAGACGACCATGAACTGCTTTTCTGAAAAGTTTGTCCCAACTAACGAAGCCATCTTTTTTTTGTCAGGTTTATGGACGCAACTCGCCCTAGCTTATGCCATCCACAAGAGTTTCATTTTCATCCGAGTCCCACTGACGGCAGCGGTGACGCCCAAAGTTGTCAAGGTGCTACGACGATGGGGTTGGGATATCGGGAAGAAGAAGCCTAAAAGTACCTGAAATTTATATGATGCAAACGGAAGGACTTTTAGGAAACCCCCCACTCCCGCTTTCTCCTCTCCTTGCGCGCAAAAGAGAGCGTTCCTTAATTTTCACCCCCTGCGGAGCATTCTTAGACACATACCCAGACACATACAATCAGCCCATCACCCCATCCACCCCAGACATACGCCGCCGCAAATCACCATCTCATGTCCGTGGAAACAAATCTACCTACTCGTTTTGTATACTATAAGCCCACGTACGGCACTCACCCTTTGACACCCCCCGATTCCAACATCTCTATGTTTCCGAGGCCCGGTTCCGGTTCCCCTTTTTTTCGATTGATATAATCTCTCATCATCACAAATCTTGTCACACACATCTAGACACCCCGCTTGGGTCTTAACATATAAACTCCTCTTGTATACTACTACGACTACTACATAGATCACATTATTTTATTCTACGATGGGCAGAGGAGTCCGAATCTGTGTTTAAAATTTTACAAATCATGGGAGTATAGATATGTACACTCATATCTCAAACATGCATAAATATGTGGGCTTGTAGCAATGGATGACTGACTAGGTGGATGAGAGCGCAATGAAGGACGTAGGAAGGAAGGCGAGAATAAACAGTCGATGAATTTATTACTCCACATTCTACCCATGAGTAAATAGTTAAGTTCGGATAAAGACCAAATATTGGGAGTGGTATATATATATATATATACCCTCTATATAAAATAAAAAAAGGGAGGGCTGAGACGGTCAGGGGATATCCGATCCAAGTTAAATCCACATCACATCACGTCACGTCACATATCAATCGTATCATTAAATCGCAAAACACCATTACCTCTCACAACCCCATTCACGCCCTCGGGCATTTTATACGCCCATTCCGCGGACACTCCAACTCCAACTCCAACCCCAATGCCAACGCCAGCACCAGCACGACCTTGTTGTTCATGATTACGATCATGACTGGCTAGTTTACCGCTACCGAGACCGAAACGGGTCTTGTCCAAGATCTCGTCAGATGTATCGGCGACAAGGACGAGGCCGAGTTCCTTGATCGACTCGACGAGGGACGGCATGACGTTCTACGTGAAACGGTTAGAATAATAGGAAAAGTGTGCCAAAGACCAATAAGGTAAAAAGAAAGAGTATAGAAAAATAACATATGATAGAGTACAAAAAAAATAAATTAAAAGGTGAAAGAAAGAAAGCTCGGGAACGTGGGGACGTTACTAGCAAACTCGAACGACACATCAAGCCCATGAAGTTATTGCTCTGGGCTATCCGCGCGGATTCCTTAATGGACATTGACGAGCGCCCACTACTCCGGATAACGGGTAGCGAGCTGACATCCTGTGTCAGGTCGCGGATCTGGCCTAGGTCGTTGCAAAGGAGAACAGGGTCTAGAGACATGGGGTTAATTTTTGAATTCTTCACATGTCAGTGGCAAACTGATGGTGGACAACTTACAGTTTGGTTGTTTCCAATTCAGCGCAATGCAAATATTAGGATTATACGAGGTGAATACGACCGAGCGCATAAAATCCGGGTTCGTTTCCTTCGACACTCTGGCATGGGTAAAGACATCTGTGAGAATCGCATCGGCGACGGTGTTGATATCCGCCAGTGGGCCAAGGCCAAGTTTCGCCTCTTCGGCTGGTGAGGGGTATAGGATGCATAGATCTACGTGGATGTTTGTGGGGAGGTGTTCGAGGACCTCCTTTAGGGAGAGGAAGGACGTTGCTAATAATCTATGCGCTTGCGCCATGTCATCCACCGTCATATCTTCTAGGGATTTAAGCAAGGCGGCGTCCTCGGATCTGGTTTGGGCCAGATATTCGGCGTGGATAGCGCGGAATTGTTCGAAGGATAGGCGGCAGATGGGGATGTCGATCCCATGATGGTTAACGGTGAACTCTGGGTAGAGGACGGGAACGCCGTCCTTGGTCAACTGGACAAAAACCTGGACGTAGTCGCCTGATAAACTCGAGCCAGTCACCAGTCCATTGTGATCCGAATCAAGGGTGCTTGTCGCCTTCCAGTAAGTAGCAAAATGTGTAATCTCCAGCGGATCACCGTGGTAGGGCTTGATAGCTTGGAACTTGAAGCGTATCTCACCGATTGCTCGTAACCTGGGATCGAAAAGAGGTAAGGTACATATCCCCTCTGATAACCTGCCACCTATAAATACATCCGGTAAAGCAACAGTTTTGGCGATGACCTTGGATCCAAAAGTAGGGAAAATTTCAAACTCTAGAGCAAAGGTGTCCAGACGGTCGATCTGGAATGATACAAGTCGAGCGTCATCCTGAATGGGTAACATCACGTTTCGGGGTATAAGATCTGAGGTTTTGGAGGAAATCGTCAATCGTGCAGCAGCATAACGGCCGGCCTGGTAAAACACAATTGGTTCTGAGGACAGCGTTTGTTCAAAGTATATTTGAATGAATGTTTTTGTGTCAAGGAAATTATGGCCGTATCTTCGTAATGGAATAATCGGGGGTGGTAGAGATAGAAGAGGAATGCCGTCACCACCGTCGCCTGCTTTAAGTCCTCCTGATTTTTCAGCGAGGAGAGGGGAAGTCATCGACCCCGAATCTCGAAATCTAGGGCCATTGAGTATATCCAGCGGTGTCCGTGGTGGTTTTGAACCTGCCCGTCTTGACCAGAGCAATATCATGCACTCTAGGTGACCTTCCCATGCAGCATAGTACATAGCGGATAATCCCTTTTCATCCAAAACATCGGGATTTACACCGCACTCCAATAAAGTTCTCAAACAACCAACGCACCCCTCACTTGCCGCGTGGAAAATCGGGGTCCATTGGTAGAGTTTGTCCTTTTGGTCGAGATCAGCTCCATGGCTCTTTAGCACAAGGAGCACTTCTGGAGCTCGACATGACCTCGCGACGAGATGCTGTGGATATAAACCCTCTGCGTCAGGGAGTAACTCAGCGTTCCTCTCCAAGAGAAGGTTTATGATTGGTAGCGATGCGTGCTGGCAGGCCAGGTTCAGCGGGATATGGTCGGACTCGGATGCCGGGTTTATGCGAGCGTTATGGGCAAGGAGCTGTTCCACACAGGGAAGCTGATCCCGGATGATGCTGTGGATTAGTGGGGTGAAATTATCGTGATCCATCGCGTCAATAGTACAAATGCCTGCATCGAGGAGGGGTTTCACCATCTCCACTCTACCATGCATACAGGCATAGTGAAGAGGTATCCTCCCGTAGACATCTGACCGTGCAACGTCAACCCCACGCTCCAGTCCGGCCATGAGAACAAATAGGCGCCCTGATATCGCCGCCTCGTGGAGACAGTTGCGCTCGTTGATATCATCTTCCGCATTCACGTCCACCAAACCCGTGCCAAGAAGAAGGGCAAGGACCTCATCGGGATACTCATTAATTGCAGCCAGGAACATACGTGTGAGTCGATCCGCGCCATCCGGCGACGACTGCAACTTCGCAACCCATTCCCGCAACGTTTGAAAATTACCTGCAGCGGTGGTTTGTAAGATCTGTAAGTCGGAATCATCCTCTTCGGCAACAATGCGATCAGCCAGGCGTGAGGCATCGAACTGAATATTTTCGCCTTCCGCCCAAGCCTCAAGCTCTAACCTTGCGGTCGTCGCTCGGTCAGAGAGATCTCGCAGAACCTCTCGATTAAAGCACGGCTGTACTTCAACGGCGCGATGAAGATAAAGTTCTTTTGTACGTGACTAGGTGGATCCTATTGTTAGCTAGACTTATCCCCCATTGCAGTTCTCCCTTAATATTAGCGATGGTAATCGGACCTTTGATGTTTTATCCCACTAAATATGAACAAGTGTCAGCAATCCTCCTCTTTTTATATTCCAAGTTCCTTTTTCCCCCGGTCTATCCGGGGGGGATCTCGATCAAGCGCAATGAGGGGATATAGCGACAAACCTTTTTCAGAATTTTGGAGACGGCGGTTTCGTTGACCTCGACGAATTGCTGTTATGTCGTCGCAAAAGTTTAGAAACTTGACTCTCCCATTGAGATCTGTATCGACCTACGCCACAGCATAGTCAACTCACCTGAAGTTTGTTCAAGTCCCCGTCAAACTGTTGAAAACCTTCGAACAGGGTGACGAAATTCGCTGGGGCCTTTGAATTAGTAACCCATTTTTTCGACTGTATTAGCCTCTTCTTATCGAGAAGCGTCTTGAGGCGCAGCGTGAACTGTATAATGGACGTTGTATTAGCTTTTTTAAAGCTCATTTTAGGAACCTAGCCGAAACTGGGTTTCTTCTATATTCTCAAGGAGCGTATCTCGAAAATTGTTCATCGCAGCGATTAAAACTGGGATGGAAATGGAAGGGTAGCGACAAACCTCTGCCTCCTTTTGAAGATAAAAAACATTCACTTTTTCTATCTCCCGTTCCTTTTTGGAGACAAAACAAAGAAACACACGAAGTTAGCAAAATGCTCATCATGTATGCAGAACGGGACAGCTTGAGGGGAGAGTATGAGGCAAAAAGTCAGTCAACGTACGACACGAAAGAAGAAGACATCCTTATTCGCACGAAGCGCAGCTTGGGGATCGAGAAGCTCCGGGCGGATCTATTGAGAACTCTGGGCCGGATAGTGGGTGTCGCGCTTAGTTGCTTGATGAGCTG